TCAACAACGTAAAATCATCTACTTTAAGTGAGTTCGTCCCAATTTTTTCATGTCATTTTCGGTCTATTATTACATTCATTTAGCCGAAGTCATATTTTGTTATCATAACATACATTTTTCATTTCGAAATCGCCTCCTATTATGTCTGTGGATGCTTTTAACTACTAGCTGATTGGTAAAAATAACATTCATCTTATCTATTCGTCCACGTGTATAACCACATGCTGCATCATTCATTACCCCAAAGCATTATTCGAGTACTGCAAATATTATTCTATTCCCATCGCATTGTATACCAGAACATAGAGTTTAGAGCTAGTCTCTCAAAGATACACTCTTGTTCGTCTCATCCAAGTCAGTTTCGTACGCCGCCATCGCTAATCATATTTATTAGTATTTTTATCATGCCTTAAATACGGTTTTGTAACAAACGAGGTCGAGCGCATCTCCCTCAAACAACACAAAGCAGTCGAGGCTTCACGACCAAAAAGAAATACGACTCTACATACCTCGTCCACTCAGTCATTATTCTGTTCCTCTGGTCATTCTACTGATACATATTTAACGATAACTCGATGCATTTATCATAACGCAAACGACAACGTAGGCTGACCTCGCATTTAATGATTATTATCAATTGCAGTACAGCAACGAATATCACCCGTCGATGCAGTTATCATTTCACATGACTATTATTATCCTATGAATGGGAACTCTACATACTTAAATTCGAATCCACTCGACGCTACATACTCTACTGCGGCTCATTAGAACATTTTCATATTTCACTATTCTGTCAGCATCACAGTCCAATTTCTGTCATATTATAATCTACTTATTTTCATAATTTATTTCACCATCATACCCACAATCGCATGCTAATGTTTCCATATTGTCCGCGCCTTTACGATATTCATGTATTCTTTTACATAAGTATGACACTTTCATATAAAACACTCACCCCTCATGTGACACTGTACTTTATCGGGTGTTGTACAATTTTTTTCGCTACTTAATGTTAACGTTAGCCACACATCACTTCAGTGTTATTTTCGAAAACAGACATTTTTTAAACGTGCTATTTTCTACAAGGGGGCTATGTAGTATCTGTCATTATGTTAAGCCCAAATACCTTATTATTCTAACTTTCGGACAGCTCATTCTATTCATTCTATTTGAGTCACATTCTGACCTTGTTAATTATTCGCTTATCAATGTCTTGACTGTCTTTGTATGAGCGCGTAGGCGTATGCACACTTCTTATCTCGTTACTCATCACATGTCTGTAATTTATTTTTGTGGGCTTATAAATATTGATCAACTCTTTGTTAAAGGAGAGTTGGCTTACCAGCCATCTCCACCGCTCGTCAATTTTGCTTCGCTTTCTTCTCTTCGCGTCGTTCTCCCGTTCGTTTGTCTAATCAACAATTATACAAAATATATGCATTCAAAACTCCATTCTCGTTATTTGACTTATTTAATTCCGTTATTAACTAACGCGATTTAAGTCAATGATTATATACGAGGATAGACGATAGCAACCAATCATTACGATCAAATTGGAGTCAGATCACGGGTCACTAAAGTGTGTTCCGATCAACGAGTGTACAAAATATACGTATTCGAAATTCATTCTCGTATTTGACTTATTTAATTCCGTTATTCACCAACGCCAGTTAACTCGATATTTATATACGAGGATAGCCAGGGTGTATATTTTGCCAACAAACATTCATACGATCCAATTGGAGTCATATAAGGGGGCACAAAAGTTTTATACGTTTTTCTGTCAATAAAAATCAATTACGATAGTTAATATATTTGTTAAGGGTTACTGAGTGTTCCATCCTTTTTACTTTTCAACGTCAATGTAGACATATGACATCCCATTCCAAAACTGGAAGCTATGTAACTAATTCAATTATACAAACTGTTAGTGTCATCAATGACTAAAAAAGGTTATTTAAATTTCAGTTTAATGGGGAAATATGCACCAATTTCTATCACTTATAAATAGTGAAACACAACAGAGACCACTGATTTATCTAAAGTAGAGGGGTTTTCATAATGCACTTTTACTCTGAATAGATGTACTTTTATATCTTTCAAGTAGGTAAATGTCAAGCAGTAATAGTTTTGAACTCAAAATATTTTAAAAACGAATAGTGATTACCTTTCTTAAAATTTGGTCTAAGTGTGTTTAAATTATGGTTTACATATTTACTAAATATAGACCAAATTAAACTAAATCTTCAACGTTAACTATATTTTACAAAAACACTTGAAGATAACTTTATCGAAAACTTCATTAACATTATAAAAAAAAAGAAGTTGAAGGAATATATTCATAATTACTATTTCACTAATAATAAAATACCCTTGAATAAAAGTGGTTTACATTTCAATGTCAATATACATAGAATAGTTAGTGAATAAGAACGTGTTGCTGAAAAATACTCCATAAAAATATGTTGAAGTGAGATAGATCATTAGTTTGTTTATTTATGGTCTTTTATTACTGAAATATAGGTACCATAATACTAAGTCGAGCTGTTTTTTTAATGAAGGTAATAGTATATCATAAATCATTTGAGCAGTTTGTTTATAGTTATACTAAAAAACAATAAAACCGCTGAGATTATTCAATAAAGTTCTGCGGCATAATCAGTTGACAAATTCGGGAAAAAGATGGTAATTTAAATAGTACTTCAAACACAACCTCATTTTCGAATGAGAAATCGTCAACATAAAAAACGTTTGAGATACCCGAATGGTCTTCTTCAGGTGAAATACACTGACTTCATTTAAGAAATGAAATTAAGTGTATCTCCTGCAATGTTAATCAACTGAACTAGATATGTGAAGTATTACTGATACATTTTGTAAGATGGAGTTTAGATGCGGGAACACCTTAAGATATGTAGCTTCCACTTCATAAGCTTGACAAAGGAATATAGCGGGGTAATTTGAAAGAAGTACATGTACATTAATTTTATTTGAGATTCTATATTGAAAGGAAGAGCAGGAAGTGTATTCATATTATGCTTGGTACAAACTTTGCATCACAAGGAGTAGGCGTATTTTTATGATTTTGCTTTTACATCATATCAATTTTATTGTATGATTGCCGAAAAGTTTTATTTTTATCAATCCGAGACAATTTTGGCTCTGAATAAAGGTGCCTTATACAAACTAATCGTAATTTAAACGATATTTAACATCTCTTGTATTTCAAGGGATACATAAAAGTCAACCGATTGATTCGGACAGTATCAGAAGTATAAGATAATCATATCAACTCCCAGTCAATATTTGTGCTATCTAGTACGTTCCACGCTTTAGATTCAAATATTATTTATCAAAAAATCAAATGTGTAGAATGAAAATGCGTTTTACTTCAGCTTCAATTTAATCAAAATTAATATCATTAGTCGTCACTTTCGAATAAACTAATGAGTAAAGATCAAAAACTAACTAAGAAACTTCTATATTTTGGAAGCATTATAAAAATGGTATACTATATACTTCCTACTTCGTTATCAAAAGTTTTAAAATCTTTAGAACGTCAATAAACACTTTCTGTAAGAACTCAGGTTTTCATAAGATGTGGGTGTATTTCAAAATCAAAATAATTTGTGAACCACCGTACACGCGAAAACCATGATAAATATTGAAAATTCTAGACTTCCGTTGTTTATAAAGGGAGTCTTCACGTATGGTTCAGGGTTAAAGAATAAATGCTTGACACTAACTTCCAAACGTTGGATAAATAATTTGATACAGGAATCAATGTAAAGCTTGAACATTAATACTAATAAGGTTAGATTATTTCCGTTTCTAAATATCAAAAGATTTTTGTTATGCATCCTATGTTTTCATTTACAACTCTATAAAATTATTCCACTCGTTGTGTTTATTTTTTATTGCAAGTTCATTGTTGTAAAATTTAAGCACAAATTAATAGGGTATGTTAATTCATGATTACATCTCACCAAACTTCCTATATATATATATATATATATTCTGGTTCTCTTGTCTTCTATTGTCCTTGTGTATTTTTTATTGTTACAGATATCACCGATCTGGTTCTTCGTGGTGTGATCCTGTGAAACTTTGGGGTTTAGGTCTCCCATCAGGATGGTGAGATCTTTTCTTGGGCACTTCACTACGAGTGATTGCAGCCTCTCATAGAACTGATCCTTATTGTCGACGTTGCTATCATTGGTGGGTGCATAGCACTGGATATCGTTCATCGTGATTCCCTCATTCTTTGTTTTGAGGCATGCTTTGATGATCCTGGATCCGTGAGATTCCCGTCCTATAATTGAATTTCTTGCTTGTTTGAACAGCATCAAGGAAACCCATGAGTGTGTAAAGTATCTTATTCTTGATGATCAGAACACAACAGCATCTATCTCAAATCTAACCTTTTCTGTCCATCTTGGGTTCAATGGTTCTTACTTACTCCACGATCAAGTTGTATCCCCTCATTTCCACAGTTATAAACTGCTCGTACAAGTCTTTCACATTGCTCGTGCATTCCACACACCAATATTAATTGTCGCTCTAGTTGTTAGAAGGGATTTCTGAAGAATCTGGACTTTCACCATAAGGCGTCATAATTCTTCTGAATGAAGATCCTTCAACTTCGAGGAAAGAGTTAAAAATGGTCTAAATTGTTTGTTCTGGTCAGCGATTTTTTTGCAGGGATTTTTGACGGATTGGGTCGCTGACTCCATATCCAACTCTCCTCTTTTATCCAGACTTAAAACCGGCAGTAATTCTAGAAGACCTACAGACAGGGTTTGATCTGAACGTGATATCTTGTGATTCACAAATTCAGTCCGAAGTATTTTAAATACAATATATATATACATATATATACATATATATACATATATACATATATATATATATATATATATATATATATATATATATATATATATATATATATATATATATATATATATATAAACATTATGGGAATGACGTAACACATAAGAACTAGTCCACAACCATTCTTCTGATTGGCATTACTTCAACGAACTTATTTTTAAACTTCATGCAAAACCTCTAAAATAATTAAGATTCTTTTTAAACATTGGATTCACTAAACTGATGCTTGACATATGATTAAGTCACGTGCTCGCACCGTATATTCAGAAGTCTGGATGCCAAATGTTGTTCCTAATTTTATCTTTACTTCACTAATGGGCTGAATCTTTCTAATTTATAAAGTGTTTGTTGAACATTTTCAAATAAATGTTTTCTATAAAAAACGTAAATCCAGCTGAATTTTGTACAGACGTTAGATTGAATTATATACGACGATTCCCGATTATCGTTTTTCAACTGAAATAATTCATATTCATATTGTCAAAAAAACATGAGGTACGTTGTAGGAAATAAGTGTTACTACTAAATTCGGCCCAGTTGGTCTAATGGAAACCCTCAGTTCGACACATTCAACAATGGAATAATCTAACGTCTTGAGGGGAAATCTCAAGAAAACCGTCTGACAGTGGCAAATACTGTTTAGCAAAGTCAAACATTTTGTTGAAAAAACGAATATCTGCCTGTATGAAAGAAACATTTACTTAGATTCAGCTACAAAGTACGTGGAATAAAAGATGTTTCGTATGTAATTAATAGTAGTTTGTCTGTTTAATAAATGATTGGAGTTTCATTAATGAGGATAATGTTCCCTATGTCATATCATCGAGAAAAAGAGGGCTCATAGTCGATCCAGTGGATAAATGAAGATTCCAAGATGAAGTATATGTTTGCGAGAGTGATTTACCGGTGTCCATATGTGTGAGACTAAAATTTATCCAATAGTTAAACTTGGAAATACCTAACAGAATATTTTTGCGTGTTTGACAGTCCTGTAGGTTTGCTCACTAACTTTTGCTATTATAACTCAAAGGATCACTACATTTTGTAAGGAGTTGGAAACGATATCTAACAAACTTGTCAATACCGACATCCAGATGCTCAACAAGATTAGAGAGCTATTTGAATCTTCATTCAAAGCTAACATAAAAGTCGTATTTACTAGATTTTTACTCTCACTGTGATGATGGTAAACGTCAAGGTTTATGACAGATTGTTTATAATGTTTGTACTTTCTTAACTTATTCAGTTTTTTTCTAATAATTATTCTATACCGATGTATAAAAAAACAATTCAAGTTTAAAGCATAACTATGAATGAATTCAAACAACACATGGTTGGGACACAAAGTCTATAAAGTTATTTTCCGCCTTTTAAGAAAGAAAATGTTAATAAAACTATATGTCACCTACTTCTGCTATAGGAACCCTAGGATTTGTGTAGCTCATATAAATATATGATATATAAATGATACTTGTTTGACATAACTGACCAACATAACTATTTATCAAAGTTTTGTGTACCAGCAATGTTTATCCACTATTAAATTTCACCTGCAACTTATCTACAATTCAATATCTAGTTTAATCATGATTAAATAAAAAAAATTAGTTCAACGAAGAGTTCTGTTTTCGGAGAATTCATTCTCAATGCTGTACAATCGCAACGAATAACTTGGAGAAAAAGAAGAGAAAAGAATTACATTTTCGATGCACACTACTGAGGAGTTTCACAATAGGGCGAAACCGCCGTCCAGTGCTTCCAGGTTTTCCATGTTGGTCTAGCTTCAATTACTACAGTCTTCACAAAACCTCTTCTGACACAAATTTAATAGTTGACATAAATAAATAACGAGTTTAGCAACGGATAACTGGAAGAAAAAAAGAGAAGAAAACCACATTTTGTTTCATTACGTTATAGTTGAATTCTAGTAATAACTTAAAATACACAGGAACTTTTCATATCGAATCTACGTTACATTTTAATTTAAAGATTAGTTCAGCAAAAAGTTCTCTCTTAGGCGACTTGATTTTCAAAGCTGTACAACCGCAAATGTATAAACTTATTTTACAGGATGATAATAATACTGATAATAAACTTCTGTTAGACATCGCGACAGTGAGGTAAAATAAACAAATGTATTAAAAATTTTTTCTGACAATTTACCTGCTCATGTGGAGCTATGTATATAAGTCGTTCGATGCGTACTTTATCCAACAGAATTCAAGAACATTATCCGGCATAGCTAAAAAGAGGAGGAAGCGGCTCAATAAGAAGTTCAATAATCGAACATCTTGTGAACACAGGTCACTCAATCAACACAGACTCTGCGTTAAAAGTCATGTACATGTTAAGTAGAAGTCTTCCAAAGACAATTAGACTGCATCTTCATTGCATTGCTAAACCAATAGCCATATATCTGGTAAAACTAGAACTGTGTGTGCAAAAGAGACTGGTACAACCTCTTTTTCTACCATGATATTAATGTCTTATAAATTTTTTTTCTTTTTTTCTTTCTTCACACTCTTCTTCCTTTACAGCCATCTGCTTCAACTTCCATCTTCCCCTTAAATCATTTGCACACAACCGGTTTATTTTTGTTTCCACGGTCATCCTGATAGCATTTAATCTCAATTTCAACATATTATCTTATCATGCTGAGCCATCCTTTCCGAATGATATTTTCTCTTTCTATCTTTTGATGAATACTTAAACCATTAACAATCACACGATTATTAAACTTTCCTTGTTTTAAAAAGACATTTTACAGGATAATAATAATACTGATAATAAACTTCTGTTAGACATCGCTACAGTGAGGTAAAATAAACAAAGGTATTAAAAAAATTTTAAACAAGGAAAACCTAATAATCGTTTGATTGCTAATGGTTTAAGTATCCATCTAAAGATAGAAAGAGAAAATATCATTCGGAAAGGATGGCTCAGCATGATAAGATAAAACGTTGAAATCGAGACTAAACGTAAGCGGGAGGATCGTAGATACCGAAATAAACCAGTTGTGTGTAGAAGATTTAAGGGGAAGATGGAAGTTGAAGCAGATGGCTGTAAAGGAAGAGGAGTATGAAGAAAGAAAAAAGCCAAAAAAATTTATAAGACATTAATATCATGGTACAAGAAGAGATTGTACCATTCTCTGTTTTCCAGATATATTTCTATTGCTTCGGCAATTCAAAGAAGATGCAATCGAATTGTCTTTGAAAGACTTCTACTTATTAAGTTACCTATTAAGTTTTCCTTGTCCAAAAATTTTTTAATACCTTTGTTTATTTTAACTCACTATCATCATATCCAAAAGAAGCTTATCATCAGCATTATTATCATCCTGTAAAAATAAATATATATCTTTGCAATTGTACAGCTTTGAAAATGAAGTTGCCGAAAAGAGAATTCTTCGTTGAACTAATCTTTCTTATTTAATCTCTTAATGGGTGTATTCCGTTTACTAATCATGATTAATCAAAACCTTAAACCTTAAAAAAAGAATAATAACCTTAGATACTAATTGTAACAAAACATGAAGTGACATATTGATATTCATTTACATTTATTTATTTATTTATATATAATCAACTTTATTCACAATAATATCATCTAGACAACCATTTTTCTTTTCTTTTTTTTATGAAGGAAATAACAATATTTAGAAATAATATGTATATATGTATATCCTGCAGTTTATGAGTTTAACATGGAATAGAATTTCTAAAGTGCGATTATATGAAATCGTTTAAATAAAATTTCAAGTACATATTAAGATCTTTATTACCTGTTAAAATAAATATGTAATAACAAAATGTAATTTCAATTATGTAGTTTCTTTCCTTCATATAATTAAGAAATAATTCATTATATTCTCTATAAACATTAGAACATTACAAACATATTATCAATTATTTTTTATACTGTATCACTATGTGTATCACCACTTTCATATATCCAATTAGTTTCTTGAATTTCTCGATTTATATTATTTGATTGTGGCCATGGTTGTTCAGCAATAAAATTTACAGAATTTAATGTATTTGTTAGTTTATCGACTTTTGATAGATTTTGATTACAGATACAATTTTTTTGATTAGTTATTGAATCAAAACAATCGCTTGATTTTATTTCAATTTCTTTAGAATTTGAAATTTTATCGATTGATAATTTTGTTTGTAATTTTTGATTATTTTTATTTAATAATTGATCAAATGTTGACCCGGAAATATTACCTATATTTTGCATAATATCTATTGGTACCGGGAAGAATATAGTTGATTTCTTTTCAGCTGATATTGCACATAATGTTTGTAAATATCGTAGTTGGAATGCCATCGGTGAAGTAGAAATAACTTTTGCAGCCTCTTTTAATGATCTAGCTGCTTCTTGTTCTCCTTTAGCAGCAATTACCTAAAAGTATGAAATAAATAAAATAAAATTTATGAAAATTAAATTTAGCTAAGTAACTTATTATTTAAATAGGCAGTTCCATCAATATTAATCAATTACATCAATTCGCTGTATATTTAATTTATTCTTGACTTGAATTCAGTCAACACCATGGAACTTGTCTTCAGCCATTCTCTATTCTTCAAAATGAAAAGTGATCTCAAGAATCTGTTTTTCAGACCTTGTTTACTTTTTTTTATAACATTTCAGGATACATTATATCCTCCTGAACGTATAGGTTTTAATTAGTCTAGATTATGGAGGTTTTCAAACTTTTAATTTACGTTACAATTTGATATTAACTAGTTAATTATCTAAGTCCTGAAAGCCAACTCAGCAAAGTCAAGTCCTTGCAATTAAGCCTATAGGTCCTGGATTAATGAACGTAAACTGTTGTAGAATCCTATAATAGAACAAAATAACTGGTTACTGTTACCTGGTTTCCAGCGATTGTTTGAAAGTCTATACTGCAGACTTAAATACCTTTCACTTTTATTTGTAAAGGATTAATTTTTATGTATTCCTATGCATCTCATGTGCAAAGTTTTGAATCAACATGCAAAAGTACGGAATCCTTACACTAAACAAAACCAATGGAACGATACAAATTTTCATCTGTCTGTGAATTTCAAAGCTTGAGACGGTTAGATATATATGAATATACTTATGCTAAATACGTTACATATTTACAGTATTCTAATTACTGATGTACATTAGTGAAAGGAAGTAATTCACTTTTATTTTAAATACAGTATAATTTAAAACTCGACTGTTGATTGATTGAATAAATGAAGTTTCAATTAAATCCAATTATCTCACAAAAAAATGTGATCAACTACACAGTTGATAGCAGATAATATTGTGGTGCGAATTATGAGTCATCAAACAGTTTCTAGGATTTTAAGGCGACAATTCTCACCTAGAAAAAGACAAATCTAGTAAAGAAATATCAGAGTCTTATTAATTTCTCGTCATTGATCAACAATAATATGTATGTTTACCATAATAATAGTATAATCAAAACCTTTTTTCGTGATTAATACAGAACTTAGTATTATATTTTCACAGGACCATGACGAGAAACTGACATTGCCATTATAATTTATAGACGAACTATTCAGAATAATAATTGTATTTTGAGCAAAGTACGTTCATTCATATGGTTGAAATGCATTCTTGGACCGTAACTGTTGTCTGGTCCTACTGAAAAACCTAACTCTAATTTCTGAACCGCCAGCTCAAGCTTCTATTACTCTTTCCTAACCTTTCTTTGAACATAATAAGTAGTTAAAATTTCGTAATCGCTTTTAGAATCCATTAAGTTGGTTCATAAGTATAGTGTCATCAGTTTTTACTCCTGTTCAGTGTGCCGTATATGATCTATTTTCATCCACTGAATACTAATGGTGAACGTGAAATTAAAAAAGTAACATGAATACAAGGTAAAAATCCATTTTTCATTGAGTACTTTTCAATATCTTGCTCGTTAGAAAGAGGGAATTTTAAAAAGTAAAGTTTACATTCAAAACATATTCATAAAATTATAAAAACCAATCAAATTCCTCGAATCTATTTCAGCTCAAAGAAACTAAACCAATGCACTAGATAACATATAAGTCAACTCATCTTACTTTATGATACATTTTTTTTAACTCAAATGATAATAAAACCTTATTTATCTCCCACACAATCTACACACATACCCAATTTCAATTCCGCTATTTTATATTAATAATGCATACATTTCTCATACTCACATTCTAACGCATAAATTAATACAGTGACTGGTCATACAAATTCACCTTAGCCAAAAATAATTTGACTTCGACATATTCAGACCTATTAAACTTTTTTATTATATAAACAATAAACACCATTTAATCAAAACTTAGCTATAAATAAAGATATTCTTAACAGAATAGTACATTAGTCTAATCGTGTATGATACAAGTACGTACATATATCTACGTAACGTTGTCCTCATACAAAATAACAATATTAAGTGAAAATAAAATTGCCATATGTAAGATAAAAAACTTTTGAAAAAAGATAAACAATAGAGTATCAATCCGATAAATTTGTACAAAAATAAGCTCAGAATTGTGTTAAGAGGTGAAATTCATCAGTTTGCTTGTAATGATATTCGCTAATTTAATGCCATTCAGAAAAATGCTTGTGGATTAGTTCGCATGTGTTACGTTATTCTCATAGTGTTTCCTAATCATATAGCAAAACTAATACTTGTTAAAAAGAGTCATAATACCTTAAGAACATCAGATGAAGTACATCAAGCTACTATGTGGTGGCTACATAAAGATAAGCCTGAAACAATCCAATCATGTATTTATTATATAATTAATGTGGTTCTCAGCATTTGTATTACCTTTTTAAATGTATTCAACAAATTATGATAAAAAAAATCTCACTATTCGTTCATTTACATCATGAATTTTGTGCATTTTAGCTTGGTTTATCAGATTACAGAATTAACAAGATCGGTTTTCTTATCAGAAGGGGTTTTGTGGAGATTGTAGTAATTTCAATGATTAAGATCATGAGTCAGTTGAAGCTAGACCACCATGGAAAACCTGGAAGCACTGGACGGCCGTTTCGTCCTATTATGGGACTCCTCAGCATTGCGCATCCACGACCTCGCCCCCTGAGAGATTCGAACCCAGGACCTACTGGTTTCGCGCACGAGCACTTAACCACTAGACCATTGAGCCGGCATCCAACGGTGTTAATGTGTCGCTCAAATTCGTGGATTAGTTGAAGTTAGACATTAACACCATTGGATGCCGGCTCAGTGGTCTAGTGGTTAAGTGCTCGCGTGCGAAACCAGTAGGTCCTGGGTTCGAATCTCGCAGGGGGCGAGGTCGTGGATGCGCAATGCTGAGGAGTCCCATAATAGGACGAAACGGCCGTCCAGTGCTTCCAGGTTTTCCATGGTGGTCTAGCTTCAACTGACTCATGATCTTAATCATTGAAAATCGGTTTTCACCTGAAATTGTCATGCATTCCTACTTAAACAATACACATGTATATTTATTTTACTTCATTCGAAATTAAGAGCTAACTCCTCGTTACCATTATAATAGATTTTATCAAAAGATGGATAAAACTCTAAAATCAATTTATAACAGTTTTTATGAGAAATTTATCAATTGATATCACGATAAAATTAAAGTAGTATTTAAGGTGTTGGTTGCACATAGTTTACAGAAAAGCCAGGACCTAGGTTTCGTGCTTTTTCGCACTCGTCAACAAGGTGTTACTTTAAAATTGAGATGACCAATGTTGAGTCACCTAGTCTAATGGCTCCATCGGAACGTCATCGATAGAATTTAGTCACTAATAAGATCAATCTGACATACATGACACTGTCCACTACCCAGTCATCAATCAGCTGTAAATTATGGTAGTATATAGAATATATCCTCATTTTTCATCGGATTTAACATTTGATTGTTTTTTTGTCCTGAAACGAATTTAAAGTCACTTTTATCGAGAAGTGATACCAAATAAAGAAATATTGAAAGAACAACTGCGAAGTCACTTCCCAGATTGACAGAAGTGAAAACATATGACGGTTGGTAACCAGTTTTTTATATCAAGTATAGCACACTAATCCTGTTATCTGAACATCTCATAAGAGGTGATGACAAGTTTAAATATAAAATAAACAAGTTGTTCAACTGACGTCGGATTTCTTATCTGATGTACTTTGATATCTTAAATGGTCTAAAGCATAAAAATTCTTCCCTTTTTCCTATTCCGTTACCATTGTTGAAAGAATTACTTTTATTATGTACTGCTAATGTTCAATTCACGTTTGATGGTGAATATTTTCGGCAAGTTGATGGTGTAGCTATGGGTAGCCCTTTGGGGCCTCTCTTAGCTGATGTATTCATGTCATATGTAGAAAACAGGACGAGCGAGCTTATTAGTAAGGCAACTCTATATAGAATATACATGGACGATATTCTAATTATATGTGATAAAGATTTTGACGTTTACGGATTATTAGACAAACTCAATAGTGTTCGAGATGATATCGTGATGACACATGAGGCACAAAGTAATGGTCAATTGGCCTTTTTAGACATACTTTTAATTCGGAGGGATGATGGCACTATTAGACGGTCAGTATATAGGAAACCTACCTGGACGGGACAATACTTAAATTTCCATAGTTTTTGTCCATTGCAATACAAGCGAGGCTTGGTTAAGTGTCTCTTTAAGAGGACTCAAAGGATTTGTATATCTGACACGGTGGAAAAAGATGAAAAGTTACTGAGTGACACATTAATAGCAAATGGTTATCCATTAAAGTTTATGAATAGGTGCAAAAGTCAGTTAATGCCAAGACCTCTTGTTTATTCAGTCCCAAAGAAAAATTTTTATATCAATCTACCATATAGAGGCAAATCTAACAGCATAGTTTTAAGACAGAGATTGAGGGCAGCGATCGAGAATACCTATTATGCCGCTCAATTGATTGTGATTTAAAAATCTAAGCCTATGATTCCAAATAGACTTAGACAACACACTAATGATAATATCACATCCTATTGTATTTACCAATTTACATGTATGTGTAGACACACATACATAGGGAGGCGTAATCGAACAATGCAATCGTAGTTCGTTGAACATGTGCCTAGATGGCTTCAAAATCAATGTGCGATCCGATCAACGTGGGTGGTAGAAAACCAGGTTCATCGATAGCGAAACATATAATTGAAACGGGGTACAAAATTGATATTAATAAAGCTTTTAAAACGATGTATAGAAATTGTCAAAGACGAATTCTCAAGGGTTATTGAAGCCATAACTATTCGTAAATCTAAACCCCCCTAATATGTACAAAAACAATTTGTCGTAACCTTGAATTTACCTTGGTAACCCTTGAGTCATTCTATAGCCTAGGATAATGCGACAATTTCTTATTCTTTCTCTCGCCATTGTTATTTTTTGTTTATTTTTCTTGTTTGTTTGTTTTTACTTTAACTTTCATGTAATTGACCTTTATTAATTTTTATATAAAATGCCCTGACAAGTATATGTATGACCAGATCGTTCGAAATGTATAGCGCAAGTACATCACATTTTTCAGATCAACTCCGTCTTCTCATTGTTCTATCATATTCACTTTTGTTTATTGAAAAAATACCTTGTGTTTATCCAAGTTAATCATCTTGGGTTGTATTTGTTTACTGTTATCATATTACTTATTGAGATCAATTATCATAAGAGTAAAATATATTTCACAAAACTGTACTTTTGGCTTTAAACAGTAATCATTCCATAGAAGTAAGACGTATCGTTGAGGAGAATAATTAATTCTTAACAACACATCAAATTTTAATGATAACATAAACAAAATGCTTTTATGGGACAATATCCAGGGTGGCCTGCTTGAATATCTGGGCTACCTGTTCCTGCCATCTGGATATTTCAACAAGTTATCTGTTTTCTTGTTTGTTTTAGCACATCATTATGCCTATTAGTCTCATAACCTATTCAGGTAAGTTTGTGAAATATTTGCGACATTTCGCTGTAAAAGTTACAAAAGAGCTCAATCAGAGACATTATGGTTACAGTCTATATGAATCGAAAAGAACATACATTTATCAGATGTCGATTCTTGAACCGCTAACATCTAACTGGCGTCCATTTAATATTTATCGCAAGAACTGATCAAGAAATAAGAAAGGGAAACTTGTTGAAAAAAATCTTGTGCTGAGAATTTTATATTGTACCAAAAATATAATATTGAATTAAGCCACTAATAATAATAATATTACTTACATTATATAAAGACGTTCTATAAAATATAGTGAAGTACTATGGGTTTATATACATTCACACACAAACATAGTTATAAGGATTTATATTCGACCAGATATTAGTACTATTTGTTTATTTGATGAATATTTGTTTTTTGAAATTCATCTCTTTCCTGTGATTTTGTATTTAAAATAGAGACTGAAAATTTTAATCGATTAGAGTATTAATATTTGCATTCTCTGAGTAATTAGGTATGTGACAAAAGAGTAAATACTTAATGCAAATTTTAGATTTGAATATTGTAGTAATGACTCAACTGAATGAGGAAAAATTAGTGATTAAAACGAATAAATAGGCAAATGAGACATTACGTCTAATTTAAAGAATATGTTCTCTTTCAATTCATTAGCAAGCCCTAACTGAAACTCTAAATTATAGTTGTGTTCACTATACGAGCAATCATCGAATTGTACTGATGTGTTCAAATTATGACTTCTCATGCCTATTTACATCTTTCATAATCAAACCTTTATACAGTGGCGTATCGAGTACAAAATCATAGTAGTAATCTATGTCTGACACATTTTTTATGATCTAATTGGCTACCTTTACAATATTTCAAATGATATGATGACTCAATATGTTCACAAAAAATGGAAACACTAAAAAATGTACCTCTTCAAAATATGTAATATGAGATGGGTTTAGTCTCTCTAGACTTCACATAAGCTTCAAGTACTTATATTCGAATATGAAATAACATTCAATCTACTGATAACTTCCTTTCCCTAAAAATATTTGACAAACGATTGAATTTTTTCCTAAATCAATTATACTTCAGTGCTTTTTTTAAGCGTACTGTTATAAATTAATACAATTTAATATGTATTGCAAAGATTCCTAGTAGTATTCTCAAAAATATGTTGCGTTTATTTCTTTCCGCAATCATTGTCATAGCAACAAATTTTATAATATATATTAAATAAAAAAATGACCAGCGATAAACGTAATTAGTAGTTTGACTCAATCTATTCTCCATATTGAAAGTTAAACTAAAAATTTGATTTTTAATTGAATTAGAAATGACCCAGAAGCTTTTTTTTCAGAATCAATATTTGAAATGTGTTAACTTTAAATAAACTGATTTCTAAAGTAAATTTGAATACAAAACTCAAAAATTAATTTAAACTAAAAAATATCTCAAGTTATTTAAGGTCAGTAAACAAACGTAAGATTTGTATTGCCAGTTTCTGATCTGATTTTAAATTCAATAGCCGTATATTTGTCAGGATTTGGTAACTAGTTAGCAAGTCAGCGTCACTAATAGTCAGTGGATCAAAGTTAACGCATACTTAAAATATCAGAGTATTAAAGTAACATCTGATTCTGTTCAAATGCTGTTTACTAATAGAAAACACGTCTTGTAAATATTTTAAAGTGAATGTATTTCATGTTAATTCGTAGTACTCAAAATACGTCATTGATCTCACACCTGTATCATCACCATGTCACAAAATATTATGTTTTTTTAACAAAAACAAGTAATGTGAAAAATAATAGCTTACTTTAGCACGAGCTTCACGAGCAGCTTCAGCTTCCGCTGCCATTGCACGTTGTAGTTGGATAGGAAGGCGGACATCCTTGATTTCAATTCTTTCAACCTAAAAATTGTTTAAAAGACAGAAGAGAACATAATAAATAAGTTTATCAGAATAAAATTAAAACTTTACTACCGAAAGAACAGCATATATGTATGAAAATAAATCAAATGAGTCATAGCTAGACTTATTGCATTGTATACTTGTATTTCCACTATTTACCGAGAAGAAAATTCTGTATAAAATTATTTAATTTGAAAAGATTCTAGTCGTCCTGATAGTTCCTAATCAAATTATTTACATGTAATTAGTTTGCATTTCTGATATCGTCCAATGTTCAAGACGAAGTTACTCTAAACCATATGACACAAAAGCTGTAATAAGGTTCTTAAGATTTAAAAGAAACTCATACATAAAGGTCATGACGAACTGGTCATGTCGTGATCAACGAATTATTGTTACAATGACTTTGCAATGACTTAGCATGGTAAATTGATTGCCAGTAGATATTTCTATTTCGTAACATGTGTACTAAAATATGAAGTTCAGTGGAAAGTTGGTCACTGAACTAATTTTAAGAATCTTTCTACCATTTTCCTGATTTCTTGCTTTATGATTGAGTTTTATATATATATATATATATATATATATATATATATATATTACAAACAAATGGGATGAAGATCTCTTTAGAATGCTTCGTAGAGTTCTTTCTCTTGATACATTCCATCCGTCTTTATCAACAGGTAACCATAGAACTAGAGAAAATGAGCATTTCCAATTAATCCAACGTCTATTTTATACAAATGAATCAAAGGATATTTATATCTAGTCCATAATACAATGCTCTAATCCAAGATTAAAATCTTCTGATGCTATTAGACTCAGATATATATGATGAATAGCATATTTTTACAATATGATCAAATTTCATTATCAACCATCTGGTAAAAATTTCTGAACAAAGCATCTTATAGATTTAAGAAGCATGACATTAAAATAATTTCAATCCAGTATTCTTTGTGATGTAACACGATATTTTCCGTATGATTATTTAGCTGGTAGAAACAAATTAATTATGCATTAGTTTCATGACCAGAATTGAGGACTATGCATTTTGTATTCCACTCATTAATAAATCTTAGTCAGTATAAGCTACTTATTTCGAAAATAAAGTTTGTAAAATGTGATCTACTTTACTTATTAATAATAATAAAAGTGTAAACTGTGATCAAGATTTTGAAACTATCTATTATTGTGCTCATCGTTTCGTCTTACTAGTAATAATATGTGACAGAAAAAAAATTTCGGGTCAAGCATATTGACTGTTTCTTTTTTGAAATTATAACTAAAGAGTACATCCAATTGACGGGTCCCAAATAAGACGAAACGCGCGTCCTGGATTCCATTGCTAGCCACTATCCATCTTTGCTTATAAAGTGTTCTTGTCTCAAACAGTAATGTACTATTTAAAAAAAGCGTTATATAACTCAATAAATTATGTTCATTATTTGATAAAAATTGAATGATTAGAATATTTTATTTAAATAGAAATCTTATTGTTTCCAATATCTAGTAATACTCTAACAATAACGTCAGTTAATTTAATCAATACTAATTTATATGCAAAATTACTTCAAAATCACATTATATCAGCTAAACAACCTTTAAATATGAAAACAAATAAAATATTCCAATTCGTTAGATAAATTAATGTAGTTCTCTATTCATTCTATTTCATTCTCTGTATTGATTATCTCTATTCAATACTTTTTCTATCTAAAAAAATAATCAATAATTGTTCATAAATTTATATAAGCAAATTAAAATGTCATTACGTCTACTGTGATTAAAGTTTTACCTGTCCTATAGAAAATATAAATTGAGGTCATATGGCTTGGTGATAGTGACCTATTGAAAGAAACTTTCAAATATAAATTTTATAAATTCTACATAGGTAATTTTTATATTGCGGAAACTAAAGTCTACTTAATAGATAAGATATATAATTAATATAATATTATCTTAAATGTATAATTAACATTTAGTTTAATGAAATGTTTTAAGGAAGTTGTTAATGAATTCGTAAATTAATCTTTAAAGATAACAAATAAATATGGGATTAATATACAAAATGATAAAACATCAAACTTTTAATAAATTATAAATATCTAAATCACTTATACAAATATTTGTCAAGATTAAAATGAATAGTTTGACAGGAATTTGGCGCCAAGTATAGAGAAGACATTTTTATATGATGGTTTTGGTTTGTTTATTATCCTGAAGAAGTTCGGACAAGTTAGCTGGACGAAACGTTTGAATTATTTTAAATTTCAATCACTGAGATTATTTAAAATATAATTTTCACATACAAATATCTGAATCACTGTTAATAATCTATATAACATTTAAAATTAAACAATAATTCATTATTAAATAAGAACTTTCGTCCGACTAGTTTCACAGTATTTGAGCGCCGAGTTGATGTGATATTAAAAAGGAAGAATGTATTTGCAAAATCTCATCGGAAGAATTTGAACTAAATCCAAGCAAATATATTTTCTTGAAAAAGTTTGAACCAGATTGCCAGGCGATTCGTTGGATTTAATTCAAATTCTTACGCTGAGATTTTACAAATACATTCTTCCTCTTTAATAATTCAATTAGTACTTGTTGCTACTATAATTATCAGAAGGGGGTTTGTGGAGATTTTAGAAATTTCATCGGTTGAAATCATGAGTTAATTGCAGCTAGACCAACATGGAGGACCTGGAGGAACTGGACGGACTTTTCGTCCTAGCATCGGACTCCTCAACAGCGCGCATTCACGATCCGCCCCCGCGAAATTCGAACCTAGGATCTATCAGTCTCTCGCGAGAGCACTTAACCATTAGACCACTGAACTGGAATCCAACCAGTGAAATTTATAAAATTTCCACAAAACCCTTTCTGATAATAATCATCTGCTCACTAGTGACTGACTTCAAGAGACACTCCTGGAGTTCTAGTGAGAAGCCGTTACCAGTGGAGTTCAACCAGGTCTGTTGTGAGATATCAACTCACTGAAGACAATGGTGTACGGTGGTGCAACTTCGTGGATTGATTGAAGTTAGAGATTAACACTGTTGAACGCCGGCTCAGTGGTTAAGCACTTGTGCGCGAGACTGATAGATATTGGGTTTTAATCTCGCGGGGGGCGAGATCGTGGATGTTCACTGCTGAAAAGTCAGATACTAGAACGAAACGGTTGTCCAGTGCTTTCATGCATATTATAATTATTAAATTCAAATAATAAAATAATTATGAAATGATGAATAATCTATACAATTAGTCATTTATTTAAAATCAATTAAGTTATAATCGATATTTATCTATTAAAACTTTGATAATTAATTAAAATAATTACATCATAATAAACTACTATATATATATTTACGAAAATAAATCCCTTCATTTATTCACTGTAATTAAGATGAAATAAGTCTTGTTCATATTTATGTAACTCTAATACGGAAACATTTATTTTTTGTTTGTCATTTTGTTATTGTTGTTTTGTTTATAGTTAAGTTCATCATAATATTCTTTATAGACTTCAATGATTATATTTATTATTAATGAAATGATGTTGTATACAATATCAGTATCTTTATTAGTAAATTATTATGACAATTAATTGAGTAATCAATTAATAATAATTTGATTTTAAGAAAACATAAACAATTTTAAATCAAATTAAAGTAACAATTATTTTTGTTTTCCCTTTAAATTTATTAAGAAAGATAATAAAACTATAAAATTAACCATGGTTACTGAAATAAAACATTCTTTCAATTTCGAATAGTGATTATTATAGAGATATTTCATTCCTATTTATTTTTTTGTTACATTAAATTATTGATTGGATAATGACTCAAGCTTAATTCACATTTAAAAGTACTAAATTGCTCTAATTTTGAGAAAGAGGATTTTTATGGTGTTGATTTAATTTCAGTTAAATGGTATTAATCTTAAAGCTTAAAATGTCTTTTCAGATTGTAATTTTTGGAATTTCAATATAATTAACTAACAGCTTATCCTGTTAAAATAGGATTCGGTAGATTGTTTTCTATGACTCCTACTTCTGTCTGTGTTGCTATTATCAGTTTTCAAAATTCAAAGAAACTGACAACTTTACATCGGAAACTAGTGAGTTTTGTAACAAGGTCATATACTGCAATAGTCATATGTGATGAATACCATAGCAGCATATGAAAAAATATCAAATATTCGTGAATTTTCGGTTGCTAAGCAACAGTGATAGCACGAATATTTGACAAAACTGATTAACTATTTAATGATGGTCATCATCTTATTAACTTCATGGCTCCAATTAGACAATAAATATAGAAATTTATATAGTCATGATATGAATAAAATACTTCTATGTATTTGGAAGGAATTTAAATTTGTTAAATGACATTGGTAACCATATTAATAATCTCTATAAAATGTGGTTTACAATTGGTACATTTACAATATTTATTTCGCAATTTTCATCCAGTATACTTATATCATTGTAAGACTAAAAAATTCTAGTTACGAGAGTAAATCATATGCACACTCACAAAAATAAACTATTCAATTCAATATAATCATAGTTACTACAGTGAAAATGTTTTATTCGTGAATTTCTTAAGTCTTAATTCTGAATGTCAGTAGTTAGAACAGTTCACCCTGATGTGTCTATCACATTTCAATGTACATAAATTAAATTTAAAAATTACAATGTCCCTTTATATAAAAAGTAAATATCGTTTCAAAACTAAAAGAAAACAAAAAAAATAATTTTTATCTTCGTTTTTCTTGTCTCAGTGTAGATTAATTAAATTTCAAATAAAAAGAAAATTAAAACAGGACGATAATTTTCTTTGTTTTGTTTTGTTTAGAAAATCTTCTTTAAGATTAGAAATGTCATTCATCTTAATGGGAAAAACATAAAAACATACTTAATCAAGGTAACTTATGAATGAGTCATCAATTCTGCATGACTGCTACTTTTCACATTCAAGAATAATACAGAT